TGTCCTTGGAATCTTCCAATCCATGATTGTTTGGACTTTCTTAGAATCCATCATGAGACCATCATTTGAAATGATGTATCCTAAAAAGTCAACTTGAGTAATGTGAAATACATACTTTTCCATCTTGGCGTACAATCTTGCATCTCTAAGTTTTTGTAATACTTGACGAACATGTATTTCATGTTCTTCGACGTTCTTAGAATAGATCAGGATATCGTCTAGATAGCAGATGACAAAATTGTCTAAGAATTTACGAAATACATCATTCATGAGATGTTGAAAAGCAGCTGGTGCATTCGTGAGTCCAAAGGGCATGACATTATATTCGAAATGTCCATACCTAGTTCGAAACGCAGTCTTCCATTCATCTCCTTCTTTGATCCATACTAGATTATATGCTCCTCTTAGATCTATTTTTGTATAGATCTTAGCTTGATTCAACTGGTCAAGGAGTCCTGATATCAAAGGTAATGGATACCTGTTCTTGATTGTGATCTTGTTGAGTCCTCGATAATCAACACACATTCGTAAAGATCCATCTTTTTTCTTTACGAATAGAATTGGAGCTCCTGCTGGAGATTTTGAATGGCGTATAAAATTCTTCGCTAAATTCTCGTCAATATATGTCTTGAGTTCAGCCATCTCATCTTGCGATAAACTGTAAATTGGTCCAAATGGTGGCTGAGTTCCTTCCTTGAGGTCGATTGAACAATCATATGGGTGATGCTCAGGAAGAATATCTGCATTCTTTTTCTCAAAAACGTCTTGATACTCCTGATATTGACTTGGAATGTCAATTGAAGTATTTACGTTTTCAGAAATAGGTGCAGCATAAATAGCAAAAGTTGATCCTTCTTTTGCTGCGTGTATAAATGCTTTTGCACCTATTAGTATGGGTTTTACTATACTAGACTTATAATTTTTTACTTGGTTGGTAGAACTATTAATAACGCTTTGGGAAAAGTCAAGTTTACGCGAATTCCAATCTATTCGAGGGTTATATTTTTCTAGCCAAAATAAACCTAAAATAACTAGATTGGACGGGGATTTAATTATGTTAAAAGCTATGTAGCTATCATGACCATCTGTTGTTACTTTTATAGGATGAGTTTCATGAGTGACATCTCCAGAAGACAAGGGACGACCATCTATGACTTCTACATGTACTGGTTTAGGTTTCTGTACAAAGGGTATTTTACGACTTTTAACAAATTGTTCATCTAAAAAACATGCTGAGGCTCCCGAATCTAATAAAGCAGAGGCTTTGTAATTCTTAGGTCCTAAATATAAGTCTATTATAAAACAAGGAGAGGGTTCTGAGGAGAGGATAGGACCTTCATTAGGAATTGTACAAGGTTCCAGCTACACGGTCCCTATTGTGGCTGGACGAATCTGTTTTCCGACATGTTGTCTTCTTTGACCGTCGTACCCCTCATTTTATAGTTGCGTCGTTTCTTTGGACAATGTTGAGCAGTGTGCTTAGGTTCTCCGCAATATAAACATAATCCTTCTTGACGACGAGGAATCTTTTCTTGCTCAGTTAGGGGTTTAAAACGTACTGCGTCAATTTGCATGTCTTCTACTTCTGAATGTACGTTTGGCAAAGATGTTGATGTTGCCATTGAGTAATAACGTTGAGGTTCCCGTGAATGATTCTCGGATCAAAATTTGAAAAGTCGATTATCACATTTTACCGCAAAATCGATTGCTTGACTCAAAGTTTGAGGATCAGGTAAGTTGAGCATCAATTTCTTTACTTCGTATTGCAATCCATAAAGAAATTGACTGATGAGTGCAGCATCATCCCACTTGATGTCAATTGCAAGTTGTCGAAATTGTGAAGCATATACTGTTACTGAGCAATTTCCTTGTCACAGAATTTGGATCTTATTTGTTGCAACACGAGTTGCATCGTGTTCACCATACATAGATCGAAACTCCGCCAAAAAAGCTTCCAAATTGTCCAATATTGGATTTCGTTGTTTAAGAAAAGACGAAAACCACGATAATACAGAACCAGAAAGTAGAGTGCCAATAAACCTGACTTGTGATCCTGGAATTGGATAGCTTTGCGGTTGAAGTTCAATTGCCAATTGTACTTGATTGATGAACCCTCGAAACTTTGATCTCGTACCATCAAATTTCTTGGGTAAGGCAATTCTTGGTTCTCTAGTGCTTATAGGGTGTTGTACAATTGGAGAAGGAACGTGATTTGTTGTAGATGTTGAAGCAGCTCCGATCATCTCTATATCTCCACTTTCTGCTATTCTTGTTCTTTCCTGTGTTGGTGAATTGAGTTGATGCATCGCAAGCATTAACTCCCTCATTTGCTCTTGCATTTGTGCCATTGTACTCTTCATTTCAACAAGCTCTGCCATAATGACACTAAGAAGAAAAATTTGTTTGATATTGCTCAAGACAAAAGAAAAGAAAGACTTGATAACAAAGAAGATACTAAGAACAATATCAGTTTAGAAGTGGGTAATCCGCAAACTTCTAATACGCTTATGTCTTGTCAAGAGAAAGGGGTAATCCACTCTTACTCAAGAAAAAACAAAGCTCTGATATTGTAAGTGTACTCTTGTCAATCTGTCAAGGACAAAGACTCGATGAGGGAAAATATACACCAAAAGGCTATCTCGATATAATAAGTCAAAATATAAACAAGTAGGTATATTAAAAGGAAATTGGAATGGCTATTGCCACAAGACAAGAAACTAAAGACTCTTGAACCTGGACTAGAAGCAAGAAAGGAGTTGACAAGAGTGAAGAAGCCTTCACTCTTGTCTCTATATATACTATCTAACTAGGGGCTACGTGGCGACGTTCTATAGGACCTCCAATATGTGTTGACTTTGTAGGACACATGCCTTGACTTACAAGGCAAGTTTTTCTACGTGTGGGCCACATAGTTAGCTTGATCTTCAAGCTAACAACATGTGTGGCACATGGCCAACTTGTTGACCACGTTTCTAATCCAAAAAGTCAATTAAAGACACCTATGAAGTCAAAGCAGCGTCTAGGAAGTTTCTAGGAAGCTTCTATATTAAATATTATAGAATTAACTTACTTTTATCTACTTTTACTTACTTCTATCTATTTCTATATGTAATTATTAGCTTACATGATTATGGCCGTGACAAGTTGTGAGCCAGGGGCCAGACTGCAATAGTATTGAGCCGAGGGCCAGACTATGAGAGTTGTGAGCCGGGGACTAGACTGCAATAGTACTGAGTCGAAGGCCAAACTGTGAGAGTTGTGAGCCGGGGTAAGCTTGGTGCTATCTCTTTTCTTTTGTTTGTTATTTTCTTTGAATAAGAGGATTGAAAGTTTTTGAATATTGTGAAGTGAATTATGGAATAGAAATGTGATTAGTATTATTTGAGAAGAAGAAAGATTGAATGCTGAAATCTGGTTGTAGTTCAGCATAGAGAATGAGTCTGTGTTTGTGTAAAACACTGTAATGTGAATGGCAGTTCTGTGTGAAGAATTCCAGTGATTGGAACGAGGGTAATTGTGTGCTAAAAGCTGTGAGGGCGCAGTATTATAGTTGGAGATTATGAGGGTGAATATATTGGTGGAAATAGCAGTTATTGGTATGACTGAATTGCTGTAAGGAAGAGACTGATAAGGTAAAGGAGGAGATTGTAGTTTCCTTGTGTGTTCAGATATTAGAAATAGAGACGATACATTCAAGAGGTAATTGATTGTGTGACCCTAACATGAACGCTTAAGCAACTAGTCATTCCCCATGTTCGAATCCCCCTACACGGGTTTATGCTGGGAAGTTTCTTCTGAAATAAGTAAAACGAGCAATCACTCAAACACTGAGTTATTTGCACCACACATAATTTTCGATTGTCGAGCAATGGGCGGTGAAACTTAGTGGCTTGGAAGCAACCAAGCAGTGGGAACTTCATCATCTCAGCAATAGCGAAGACAGAGATGTTGGTACTTCTGAGTTTCTCTGTCCACTGTCTAGTACGCACGGTTTTCAACACCTTTCGGTGCTGTGTAAATATCCACCCTCCGTCCTGCATGATCTGCAATGCTTGGAAATGAGAAAAATTCGAATTTTCTGTTTTCTGAAGCTTCACGAATATCTGCTCCTTGGGAAGAGAGGAGATAAGTTAGTGGTTGTGATAGAGGAAATTTACTGCAGTTCACGTGTCAACAGACAAGAAACGCTTTGCAGTTCATCATGAAGTTGCAGGTGTGATTTAATCAGCTGACTAACTGACTCAGTAACGCACTCACTGACGGACGGATGGATAAAGATGGGCTAGCGAACGTACGACGAACTAAAGTGAAAACCAACAGTTCGTGGGCAGTCCAAAATTCAGGCCAGCAGTATTCTCTTCAGGATGGAGCTGTGGAAGAGCGTCCTTTTGTTACCATCCTTTGAATTAGAATCCTTCGTCTTCGCCCATCCATGCTATGCACGCAAGCAAGCAGACCCTATTTAACTTGTACAGAGTGTTCTTCCTTTAATTCCATGCACATGTTACAAAAAGATATGTTTAGACAATCTTATTACATTATTGACTTATGCATTCAATATTTTGGGTCCATAGATTTATTAGAGTGGCGTGAAGTCACGACTTTTTAATTTTGTGGTTGTTTGAAATTGGGAGGTCTCTTTTAGCTGGGTTCAGTTTTTAGAAGATTAGACAAAAATTGTGAGAAGAAAAGATGGGTGAAAATTCACTTCTTTAATGTAACACGTGTGTTGTTATTCCTTCTTTTTTATAAAAAGCAGCTTTATACGAAAAGCTATAATACGAAAAGACAAGGTGAAACATAATGTTTTCCCTACATAGCCGGAATACTGTGGTCCCCCCAAATTTGATTTAAACCAAGCAAGCGACTTTCGTGACGCTGTTATACCATGACCTTTTAGAATAGGATGTGAAGTTTCTACAGCCATCATAAGATCACAAAGAGTCGACCGGAAGAAGTTGTGCCCTCATTACTTCTCCTTTATATTTTATAATTTTTTAAAAAACCTACTCTAATAACTAAAGGTAGTTTGGCGCACTATCTTCATCGATGTTTGCAGTAGCTGCGATTTTCAATAATCAGTTGCGATACATTGCTGTTGTGACTGTATGATGTGAAAGGTCGAAGGGAGAGATAGGACGACATTGAGCTCAAACCTGCAACGTTGTGTTTATTGGAAGAAGACAGCTACGGATTTCTGCCGAAGATCTGTTTCAGCACCCCTGAGCGGAGTTTCACTGACCTTCTAGAGTGTGCTCTGCTCGTCGATCCCTGTACAGAAGGCCTGGTACTCATTCGACTTGCTGCGTCACAACCTCACAAACCTGCCGAACATATGAAGCCTTGGTCGACGAGAGTACAAGTTGTGGGGCGATGGGTGCACTCTCGTCTCCGAGCAAGCAGGTGCACCGGCCACTCGTGTTTGCCTTGAATGGAGAGCGTGTGGAGCTTCACAATGTGGATCCTGCCACCACTCTCCTCTCCTACATCCGCTCCGAGACTAGATTCAAAGGGCCAAAGCGGGGATGTGGCGAAGGTACTGAAGCCCTCCAACCCACAGATGTCTTATTACTGCTGCCAGTAGCGTTTGCTGTGGGTAACTGAGAATGTCGCTCAGCTGTTCTCTTGCGTTTAGGAATGTACAATTCTGTGCCGCAGTGCTGCTTATTTATATGAACTGAAACGTCATCCTCAAAAGGCTTGGTTCGCTGAAACGCCGGTGAATTTTAGCCACCCGGAAGATTTCGATGGAATTCGTCAAATTCCTGCGCCTTTTTGGATTCTTGTAATCCTGGTTTGGATGCACGAGATGTCCCAGAAATTGTAAAGATTGGCGTCTCTATCCTATCTGCTACCGTGTGGCATGAACTAGACATGGCAGGAATCTAAATCTTCACGTCTTAGAGCTGAACTGCAGTTTAACGCAGAGCCAAGTCGCTCAACAATGTGCAAAGAATATAAATTATGAACATCAATCTTTGACCATGAGAGATTTTCTAGTTTTGCAGGTGGATGTGGTGCGTGTTCGGTGATAATTTCCAAGTACAACCCCGAGACCAGAGAAGTGAAGGAGAGCTCGATAAATTCGTGTCTAGCGTTGCTTTGCTCAGTTGATGGCTGCGCCGTCACCACTTCTGAAGGCTTGGGTAATAGTCAAGCCAGTTTCCACGCCGTTCAGAAGCGTATCTCGGCTTTCCATGGTACTCAATGCGGCTTCTGTACCCCAGGAATGACTATGGCCATCTACAGCTGCCTCAAGCACACGCAACAGCTCCGATCCAAATCACCAGCAATGGACGGCAATGGAGCTGCTGCCGCAAGACAAGTTGCAGGTTCAACATCTGCAGAACTGGAGAGAGCATTACAAGGGAACATTTGCAGATGCACAGGTTACAGACCTCTTTTAGATGTGTGCAAATCTTTCGCTAGCGACGTGGACCTAGAAGACCTGGGCATCAACACTTGTTGGGCTAACAATGCAGAAGCTAAGCACGAGAATCTGCCACCTTACAATCCAAAGATGGATCCCCAGTTCCCTGAATTCCTCATCACGGAATTAGACGCTAGAAAGAAGCGTACACTCGAAAAGGATACTGCGGGTCTGTCGGAGATAGAATTAGCTGGTGAGAGCTTGGATGCGAGGTTCAAACATGTGGAGGGAAGCAAAGAGGAAAAGGTGGAGTGCTCGTGGGTGAGCACTGGCAGCTTGGCACAACTCAGTGTAGCAATGAAGGCGCTCAAGGGAAGACGCGAGCAACTGAAGCTGGTGGTGGGCAATACAAGCTCTGGTTACTACAAGGACCACCGACCCGAAGTTTTTGTAGACGTCAGCCAGGTAGAATCATGGTTCTCGGGGTTTTGGGTTTTGGTGAACTCAGGGTTGCAAACTGCGTCTATCTTGAAGTAGTTTCGACTTTTCGCAATTCTGCATTGGTGTTTCAGCATGCATGGTCTGGGTGTTTGCGATCTCTTGCAGTATGAAATGTATTCCTGACATATGATCGTGTCGTCTGCGCTTCAACTCTCAGATACCTGAGCTCTTGTCTGTGCGTCGTGACTCTCATGGCCTTGAAATCGGTGCAGCCACTCGCATTGCCGAGCTCATCGACTACTTGGAAGAGTTCGAAGGCAACCCAGTGGCGGCAGGACTAGCTGACCACATGAAAAAAATTGCTGGAAACCATGTTCGGAACTGGGGAAGTGTTGGGGGTAACCTTGTCATGGCGCAACGATTCGCGTTTGAATCCGACCTTGCTACCATCCTCTTGGGTGCAGGAGCGTCAGTCAAGATTGTGACATTCAATGGCCTGGCTGATCACTCTTACGCGACGGAGAAGCTATCTCTCTATGGTTTTCTGGAGAGAGGGGCTATGGATCATGACAGTATTCTGCAATCGGTGTACATTCCTCTTGAAGAAGATACTGGAGCCGCGGAGACTTCCTTTCGATGTTATAGAGCATCTCCCAGGCCGTATGGTAATGCAATTTCGTATGCCAATGCCGCCTTTCACGCTCATGTCTCAAGTAACCGGGAGCAGGGGACCATTGTGATCGAGAGTGTTCGGTTGGCGTTTGGTGCGTTTGGGACGAAGCATGCGATTCGGGCTTCAAAAGTAGAGAAGCTGTTGGGCGGCACCACCCTTACCCTCGCCATAGTGAAAAAATCCGTGGATCTGCTGAAAACGGAATTGGTACCGGTGGAAGGGACTGACAAGAAAGAGTATCGCGTCAGCCTCGCGGTGGGATTTTTGTTTGAGTTTCTGAATTCTCTTCTATCTAGCGAAGCAACCGTGGCTCCTACACCTCTCGTAAGTACCCGTGTCGAGTTGAATTTGGAGGCCATGTCGTGATTTCAAGTTGTCCATATGTCTTTGCTAGTTGCTGCCAGCTTCATCTTAAGTCATGGTTGTTGTTCGCAGTTTCCTCATGTTGGTAAGCAGCTTGTGCGGTTGACGGACGATCAATACCCTATTTCGCAGCCCAGATCGAAGTTACATTCACTTCTTCAAGCATCTGGTGGGTTTTGCTTTCAACTGGAAATATCTTACTGTCACAACGATGCACCTGCTTCGATTTGCGTCGTTTTGAACAAAATATGGGAATCATAACCAAAAAATTGATTTCGCAGGAGAGGCTGAATATGTAGACGACATCCCTTCACCTCCTCGTTGCCTGCACGCCGCCTTCGTGCTTAGTTCGGAGGCTCATGCAAAACTTGAGGCTATCGATGCCAAGGTTGCACTGGAGTCTCCCAGAGCGATCGCGTACATGTCCCTGCGCGACATCCCTGAAGGTGGGCAAAATGTCGGCATAGTCAACAATTACAACGGCTACGAGACGGAGAGTCTGTTTGCCGAAGACATCGTAGGTTACGTTGGCCAGCCGCTGGGTGTGATGGTAAATATCGATCTTCCTCAATATACATCCTTGCAATCACAATTCTAATGCTAGTAGACTGGCAGAAGTACGAGGAACCTTTTCTCCATTGCAATGTGAGTTGAATGATGTCTCATTCAACAGGTCGCAGAAACGTACGACCTTGCTAAACTCGCAGCCGGAAAAGTGAAGGTTACTTATGACACCAGCAGCGTAGAACCTCCAATACTCACAGTAGATGATGCTGTTGCAAAAAACTCAATTTTCCCCGTGCCCCCTTTTGTACTGCCATCCCAACATCAGCACATAGGAGATGCTGGAAAGGCTCTTGCAGAAGCAGAATGTCAACTAAGTGGAGAGGTGAGACTACGCACATCCTAAGTTATTTTCCCGGATTTCCTCTTATGAATTCACGACTTCTTTATGTGAAGCACTCGAGCCTGATATCTATTGTTGTGTAATTTCAGTTCTCTACGGTTTCGCAAAGCCACTTTTATATGGAGACACAGGTAGCTTTAGCTGTTCCCGGCGAAGATGGTAGTCTGACAGTTTACAACTCGACACAGTCTCCTGATTTCCTCCAGCAGGCCATTGGTGCCTGCCTCAACATTCCTCTCAACAAAATTCAAGTCATCTGTCGCCGACTTGGTGGATCATTCGGTGGGAAGGTCTTACGAAACCAACATGTAAATATCCTTCACAATTCACCGTTAATCGATCACTTATATAATGTCCTATGTGCATCACTTAGGTTTTATTTCGAAGTTTTGTGATGCTGATTATATTCAACACCGCGCAGGTGGCTGTAGCGGTTGCGTTAGCTGCTCACAAGTTGCGAAGACCGGTTCGAATGTCCTTGGATCGAAACACTGACATGCAAATTATAGGAGGACGTGTCCCATGGAAGGCGAAGTTCGCGGTGGGGTTTACGAAAGCGGGCAAAATCACAGCAGCTAAAGTGGACACTCTCATTGAACTAGGTTGGTTCAGCGATTTTTACTTGATTACACCTGCATTTGTAGATTCTACTGTAAAGAAGTACAACTTTGGAACCTTGGACCTCTCCTTCACGATGTGCAAGACAAATAATGTGCCCAAGACTGCAGTGCGAAGTCCTGGGCACGCACAATGTAACGTCATTGCTGAAGCAATCTTGGATCACGTGGCATCCTACTTGGGCGTAAGTGGGAACAAAGTTCGTGAAGAAAATTTACACACTTTTGAAAGTCTTGTTCTATTCCAAAATAAGGAACTTCTGTGCAATGAGGCGGAATATACGTTGCCAGCAATCTGGGCCCAACTCAGATCTCAGGCAAGAGTGGAGGAGCGCGAATTGGAAGTGCAGAAGTTCAATGATCGGAGCAAGTGGCTCAAACGTGGCCTGTGTATGGCTCCGATTGTGTATGGAGCCGGCGGTGTAGGAAATCAGTCCATGGTGAGCATTTTCCAAGATGGTTCTGTCGTAGTGCAGATCGGAGGCATCGAAACGGGGCAGGGATTGTATACGAAAGTGGCACAAGTGGTGGCTTACTCGTTGAGTCCGTTATGTTCAAAGGTGACTCCGCTGAACTGACGATCTTAGCTTTGAAGATTTTTATCCATAAGTCAGTTAAAAGTGTGCAAGATATGCTGCTTCGCCAATGAAACGATCTCCAAGAGTTTTCTTTCCATCCTTGAAATTTTCCCTGTTTGATGTGATAATCAGGTCGAAGTTTCGAAAATACTTAACAAGATCCAGATCCTTCCACTTGATTCGCTGCATCTGCCAAACACATTTTGTGATGCCGGGAGCACAACCTCAGCGGCGACGTGTGCAGCTGCCCAGCAAGCGTGTGAAGTTTTGGTGCAACGCTTGTTGCCATTGAAAGAGCAACTTGCCCAGGCTCAGCCTAACGGAGAGGTTCTATGGGAGGATCTTTGTTTCACGGTACGCTCGATTTTTCCAAAACCCCTTCCCTTCTTGTCACTACAGATTTGGCGCTTCCAAGGAGCACACCTCTCTGCACTATGGGTGACTTCCACATGGTGCAGCGAATCCATTTCTTAATTTGAGCTGTATAATACTCCGCGTGCAGGCCAAAAGGAGGATGATGAACTTGCAATCTTATGAGTACTGGGCTTCACCCAACTATCACTACTTGATCTTCGGAGCTGGAGTCAGCGAGGTTGGTTTCGCCCCTAACCGCACAAATACCAAAATTGATCAAAATGCCACTGCAACGAACCGTCGATGAAGCATGATCTTACCAAGCATTGCAGTATATTTTTTGATGGTGTGGGCGTATGGTTGCAGGTGGAGGTCAACATTTTAACAGGTGAGACCAGAGTGTTGGCCACGGATATTCTCTACGATGGTGGGAAGACCTTAAATGCAGCGATTGACGTCGGACAGGTGAACCTTTCTCCAGCAACAATTTGTAGCCATGATCCATCTCATCTCAGCAGCTTGATACTGTTTGCATGGTATAGATAACAATCCTGCAAAATGTCTCTCCAAGTGATCACCTACTTGACCGACTGTGCGCAGGTTGAAGGTGCATTTGTGATGGGCCTTGGATTCGTCTTGACCGAGGAAATTACAACGGATTCGAAGGGGAAGGTTTTGACTGACGGCACGTGGACATACAAACCACCCACTATTGATACAATTCCCCGACGATTCAACGTAGAGTTTTACAAGAGCCCCTACAGCAACAAGCGGCTCTTCTCTTCCAAAGGTCTCTCATTCCCTTACCCCACACCCTAGATCCATTCCTTGGTTGCTCCTGAATCTCTCCATTCCCTGCAATATCCGTGCGTTCCTTCACAACCCTATTGCAAGCCAGTTGCAAACCGCCTGTCCCATTTCATGTCACTCACATCACCATTCTACCATTGATGATTGTCACAGCGGTCGGCGAGCCACCCTTGCTAGCAGCATCAACTGTCCTCTCGGCAATCAGGATGGCCATCGCTGCTGCACGCAAAGATTACAAAGGAGGCAGTCCCAAGCACGACGTCTTTGAATTAAACCCACCTGCGACCGTGGTTAAGGTGAAGAAGTTGTGTGGCATCGACAACGTCGAGATGCACCTGCAATCCACATTGCACAAATCTAATGGAGAGCTCCAGTCCATGTTGAAACCAAGCAATAGTTGACAAGATGGAAAGCGTTTCTATTTTGTACCCAGCAGAAGAGTCACAAGTGCTGCACACTATTGCTTCAGTCATGACGACCCAAGCAGTAGCGGTGCCTCAATGATTGTGCTACGCCTGTAAATACAGCTGGGAATATAGCCTTGTGATTGCAGTGAAAATATCAATGCACTGTACATACTTGGGGGTGTTGGAAGAGGTCAGTGAAACAGAGGGAAACGTTTGGAGACTGTTTATGTTTGTTGTGAAACATTGATATATATATATATATAGATAGATAGATAGAAAGAGGTAGAGAGCGATAGAAGGAAAGTTGTTAAAACCACACTCCATGTTGTTACTACCATATCTCCCTTGTGTTCTCATGATTAATTTAATATATTCTCAAACAACCTCATTCCACTCCATGTGTTGTGTTATAAATGTAGTTTGATGTATTACAACTACATCATCATGATTTGGAATGGTATAAGTTCAACTAACTTGTGTCCATTTCTTCAGCTCAACAACCATTAGTGTGGTGGCAATTCCATTTGTTGTGCTCAAGACTCTTCTCAAGAATGGATCATTACCAAGTTTGTGGAGGTCACAAAAACATTTGATCAATTTGAAGGAGGCAAAATTGAAAGGTGGATTTTATGTCAAATTAGAGCCTAAGCTTATGCTTGTCATTTGTATTTGTGGATATAAAAATTAATGTTTCTTATCCTTCTTTTTTCTAAATGTTTGCAGCTTGTTACCTCTTGCTGAAAGGCATGCATTTGTTAGGATGGAGTTGTGTAACTTGGATTTTTTTACCATGGTGTTGAAATTGTAATGATTTAATGACTTAATGTTTGAGAGTTATGTGAATAGGATTGTGAGAGAGCTTGAAGAGGTGTAGAAATGACTCTTTTGTGTGTTAATTTTGATATAGTGCTAAAGCAATGTTGTCTCTTCTTTACCTATTTTTTTTCACTTAGATATGTATGTTTAGGATATGTACTTGCATAGGAAGCTATTGCTCCCACTTTTCTATTGCTAAATCAGCAATAGTGCCTAGCACACATCCATGCTTAAGAGCAATACTTATCACAAAGATGATTACAATTGTGTAAGTTGTAAGGAAGCATAATTAATCATGTCTATTAATGGTGACGAGTTGAAAGTAATAAGATAGATAGTATTGAGCAAAGATAGCACAATGTTGTATTACGTGAAACCTTGCTTGAGAATGTACTTGACACTTGGTTGTAGAAGATAAATTAGAAATTGCAATAACAAGGTCTTAACAACTCTAATAGAATCTTAAATAAATTCTAGTTAATAATTAAGAATCCTAATCAAATCTTAATTAAATCCAAATAAATTCTTATAAATTTTTTAAAATAAACCTCAAGAAATCCTAAAAAAATTCTAAAGAAATTATAAAGAATTTAATAAAAATACTAAAGAAATAATAAAGAAATCTTTAAAAATATCAAAAATAAAAATATTAAGTAAAATCTAATTAAATCCTAATCAAATCCTATTATAATCCAAATAAAATCTTAAATCTTAAATAAAATCTTAAAACAAATTATAAACCAAATCCTAATTAAATTCTTATAAAATCTTAATCAAAATTTAAATTTTAAATAAAATTTAAAATCCTAAAGAAAACTCTAATAAAAACATAAATCCTTAAATAAATTCTAATCAAATCTTAATCAAATACTAATCAAATCTTAAATCTTAAAAAAATTCTTAATCAATCTTATAATAAATTAAATCTTTAATTAATAATAATATAATTATAGATTTTAATTCAAAATTTTCATACCAAGTAAGTTGATAAGAAATACAAATAATTTGAAGAAGATTAAACTAATCAAATAAAAGATAAATTCTAAAATTTATTCAAGTATTGGCTCACTTCCTTCTTCAATCTTGATGTCAATTTTCCATTGCCAATATCTCTTCATTTCACCATCTAATAGCTTTTAAACTTTGCAAAAATTTTAAAAATTAAATCTACTACTATTTTGAATTTTTTAAATTTTTCTATTGAAAAATTACTATAAATCTTAAAAACCTTCATTAGTCCTCTAAATTCCAATTCCTAAGACTCTAATATGTTTAAATTTCAATAATCTTTATTTGTTAGATCAAGCTCAAAATCAGAATAAAAATTTAACACAACAATAGTTACTCAATTAAAAATTGAGTAATTTATATTTCTCAAAAATCCAAAATCTTTGTAAAATAATTATAACTTTGTAAAGTCTTTACAAAATCATTCTAAAAATATTTATAAATTTTTTTTATTTAATTAATTACATAAAAAAAATGATATGATGGAAAAACAAGTGAGTTTATACTCTTTAAAGAAAAGACACAAAGAAAAAAAGAATAATTCTTTATTTTTTGACTTTGTAGTCTATATAGAAAGGAAGCAATTCTTGAAGAAGTACCATCCAAAACAAAAATAAATCCAAAATTGATAAATTAAGAAGCAATTGTAGAGGCTGTGGACAAAAAAAAAAATTGGCAAAGTTATACAAAGTATTTCAAAACAAAAAATGGTGGAATAGTAAGTACTAATGATATATTCTTGTCAGTTGCAAGAAAGGTTGCAATTTTAACTTGGATAACAATGGAGTTGATTGGATTCTTCCTTTGAATGACATACTCTTGTAAGGTACACTATTGTATTACATGAAGTCTTTCTTAAGAATGCACAACACACTTAATTATGGAAGATAAATTAGAAATTATAACAAAAAATTCTTAACAATCTTAATAGAATCCTAAAAAAATCTCAATTTTAACCTTAATAATTTTAATAAAATATTAAGTAAATCCAAAAAAAATCTTAAAGAAATTATAAAAAAAACATAAAAATTCATAAAGAATTTTATAAAAAGTTCTAAAGAAATAAGTAAGAAATAAAAAAAATCTTTTAAAAATATTAAAAATAAAATTTAAATAAATTCTAATTAAATTCTAATGTAATCTTAAAAAAATCCTAATTAAATTCTAATAAAATCTTAAAGAAATTTTAAATAAATCTTAATCAAATTCTAATCAAATCTTAAAGAAATTTTAAACAAATCTTAATCAAATTCTAATCAAATTTTAGTCAAATTCTAAATTCTAACCATATTTCAATCAAATCTAAAATTAAAATAAAACCATAATAATTAATAATAAAACTATTTATTTTAATTTAAAATTTGCATAATTTTCAATCTATTAATTATAAACAAGCACAAATTTTTTAAAAAAGATCAAATGTATGAAATAAAAGATAACTCTCATAATTTTCTCCAGTATTAAGAAACTTCTTTTTCCAACCTTAATACCAATCTTTCAACACCAATATCTCTTAATTCTACTATTTAATTTTTTAAATTTTAAATAATTATAGATAATTAATTTTTTTATTAGTATAATTTTTTTTAATTTCAATATAATTGACAAATTGCTACAAATCTTATAAATCCTCATTAATCTTCTAAGTTCTAATTTTTAAAATTCCAATATATTTTAATCTTAGTAACCTTTAAATATACCATACAATCAAACTCAAACTTACAACATATATTCAACACAATTATAATCATATAGCTATAAAATATCACTTGTAGATCTACTACAAATCTTCCAAAAGTCTATAATGTATATATCCTTTACACTTCTTAAAAAAAAAATAGCCCTATCTTTACAAATCTTTTATAAAATCTTAAAAAACTCAAATAACTAAAAATAAAAGCCTAAAGAATCATTATTTAATGTTTTTTTAAAAATCTTTCTCTCTAATTAATCAAAAAATTCCAAAATTGCTGTGGATATAAGGTTTTGTGCCTTAGGATCTAATTTCAATCTTAGTTTACAATTGGTTTTTATTTTTTTATATTAATTTTTTATTTTAAAATATTTAAAAAAAAATTACTTTAACTTCCATTTAAAGATGCCTATATCATTTATTTTTCTTATTTACTTTAATTTTCATTATTTATGGCTGTAAAAAGTATATAAAAATCTATTTTGTAAAAAGATAATATTAAAAATTATTAATTTTGCTACCTCAACTATTATCTATATTTCTAAGATAATTTTCTATGATATTAATTAATTAAGATTTTCCATAATATAACCCATTTTTTTCTCTTTCATTTAATAGTCATATTAAAATACAATAATGTTCTATAAAAAAGAACTTATTTTTATGTCTTATAAAATTGAAGAAATTTTTTTAATTTTTAGTTCATTTATCTAAGGTCTTAAGCTCATAGAATATCATAAAAATTAGTACATGCTTCAATGCATATAATATAAGAGGTAAAAGAAACAAATAATGTTGAAAGAATAAATAACGAGGTCATTTATGTTAGTTCATTTATCTATTATTGATAAGGCCTATAGATAGTTTTTTTCTATACAAGCGTAAGTATGTTAATGATATTCTATATGTAGTAGTATCTAATCTTTATTATTTAGACATATTTAGTTTTAATAGGCCTAAATGGTTAGTTGTATAGATTGACAAACACTATAGTTATTATAACCTTGCACTTCTTCAAAGTAGAAACCATATACATGTTGCTTATAAGACTAAAAAATAGAAGCATAAAGAAAAATCAAAAGAAATGTGAAAACATTTTTTACTTATTAAGACATTGAATTCTTGAATTATAAGTTTGGTTTAGACTTTAAGGTTAAAGATATTTTATATATGATTACTTTTAAACATAAATATGAAATTGTCGGTGTAATAGGGCATAGATAGGATATTTATATTATTTGTATATAGAAATATATAGATAGAATTATTTTTGGAAAGTTTTTAGAATTGAAGTTAAGGTAGTGGTTTATATTAGATCTACTATAGAACCTATTCAAAAGACTTAAGGCAATTATCATGGTGGAGTCCATTTCCAAAATCTTCTAAAAAGATAATTATCTTGATAGAGTCCACTATTAAGAACATTCTAGAAAGTTCTAAGATAGTTGAATAAAATATAAATAAGACTAGTTGATGCCATTTGGACATTCAGTCAGATATGGCTTTAGACTCTTTTTTTTAGTAAAATTTGGTTGCTTTTTCTTATTCCATTTTGTTTGATTTTATTTGGTTCTATTTTCTTTTACTCAGTTTTGACTTTCATGTTCCATTCTTTTAATTACTTTTACTTCTGTTCTAGTCTATTTAGTCTTATGCTATATCAAAATCTTTGTTGTTATGGATTTAGTAAGGTTTTAGATCTTAAAGAATCTAATTGTATTTTATTGCTATTAGAGCAAGTATTAGTTTGTTCTTTGGTAGTATATTGATAGCCACCACTTAGTTGGAAGTCAATTCTTGTTATTATATTGAGTACTATTTTGGAGCTATAATAAGCTATTTTAAAAAGTCAATTAGAAAAAGAGAAGGCATTACAATAAC